TTTTTGGGAAAAAGTTATTTTTCTTCGGGTTTAAAGTTAATATTTGGTTGCAAACCCATTACTGTCAATCACAATCACGAATTCTTTTCTTCAAATGTGTCCAAAAATTTTCGATTAAATTTAAGTCCGGGGTGCATGAAAGCCAGTCTAATAGAAGCACCATGWTTTCCWGAAACCATTGTGTTGTACGTCGTTATCTTGCTGGTAAATTCATGTKGCGGGCATATTGTTATCAGGATATGGTAACATTATGTTGTCCATGATTGAAACGTATTTGAACTTTCGTATTTATTTTACAAATAGGCCCAACACCTCACCACGATATGGCACCACAAGTCATTATGCAGCCACCACCACCATGTGTTAAAGTTAGCCTAGTGTATTTGGGGTCCAACTTCTTTCATCGAGGCCTGCGGGCATAAGTTTTTCCAACTAAAGAAATCCTATTCATCTTGCTWTCATCGAAAATTAATAATCTTTTCCACTCTTTTGCTGTYCAATGGCGGTATTTCTTTGCTAACTCTCAGCGGCTGCTTTGATTGCGTTCAGAGAGTAATGGCTTTATCCTTGATTTGCCGTCTTGTGGGTCTACTTTTTTRAATCGCGGGTAATTAACTCGTCCTTCCGAAGAATAACGGAATTACAAAAAAAGAAATTGTCAAATCTGACCATAATTTTATAGAAGATAATTGCAAATAAATTTACATTTTTACCCTTAAAAGTTTTATACAAATCGTCATTTAATTTATAGGGACAAGTCGTTGTTAATTAGTTGCACGTATGTGTATGTACCACATTATATGGGCAAGTACATAATTTAAATATGTATTTACACAACAACGTCATGTGGTGTCGCTGAGCCATGTGGTGGCGCTGACAGCCTATTCCGCAATTGGTGGAAGTAGGAGTAGACGAGATATGAGAAGTAGCCATTAATCACTACAAAAAGAAGAGAAATTCGAAATTATTATACATATAACTATGTATATATATATATTTTCCCACAGTTCTTTGGTGGAACATAGGGCCTCAATAAACAAATTATAAATAATTTTATTTAAAGATATGAATTTAAATGAATTCGAAATTGCTAAATGGTAAATTGAAGATTAAAAAAAAAAATTAAAAATTATTGTTTTGTTTTAGACAACAACAACTAGCACTTAGAAATTATGCTTGTTATACGGAGTCTCTTATCAAAGTCTTAAACTTTTTGTTCCACTAATATATGTATGCATGTGAATAATATTTCTTAATAAGTATATTTACCCAAAGCCAGTATATATACGAATAGGATGAGAAACACATTGTCGACGTAAGCAGCTGCGCGATAATCGCCAAAATTGAAAATTACACCCAAAACTGCGATGGGCCAATTAATGAAGAACAGCACGCCGAAGACAAACCAAACCAAGACCAGCCAAGCGTTGCTCTGTAAAAAATATTATCAGAAATTAGAAAAGCCGCTTTTGATTTATACTCATTGCTAAAAAATATATACTACTTAYCCACAAAACACCGAACAGCAGCGCCAAATTGGCAAGCAGCTCAATAATGAACCCTACAAGTAAAGATGTTTTGTGCAAATCTGAAATGTAGTAAAAAATAAAGAAAAATATATTATTAATTAGCAGTTCTATGTATATACGGTTTTAACCTAAAACTAACATAAAATTAATAATTTAGGTTTATACTGAAAGTTTGAAACAAATTGAAAAGTGAAACGTCAAGTCAAAGTCGTGGAAATCAACCACCAATAAATGCATCTGGATAAAACTTTGCTCTGAGGTCTGCTAATCCCCGTCTACTTGCATCCAAAACCCAGTCGAAACGAAATATGAAAGGCATATATGAGAGCATTTTTGGTCAGGAGAAAGCTCGCATTGAATTCGTTAGGCGTTCAAAGAGTTTGATATCTGGTCCGATAGTTAGAATTTAATTGAGATTTGCACTGGGTCTTGGGGACGTTTGGGACCTTCCTTCAATCGCGCATACTCCCAAAAGCCCAGCGCTCTGAGAATTCCAGAAACTTACTGGGCACTATTGATCTGGATATATGGATCCAAGAACTTTAAAACCACGTATGCAGTTTGCTGTGTAATCTAAAATTAGGTGTGCAAGACTTTCCGTTTTTATGTCGCAAAAACGACAGTTTGCAAAAAGGCCATGGCCATATTGGACAGCTGCTTCTTTAGCCTCTAGTGCCTAATGTCAAATGCGATTAGTAGACCGAATTTGCCTCTGTGGAGGTTTATAATTTTCGGTTGTTAACCATAGCAAAACGTACGCCTTAAGTAAGAATTTAAACTAAACTAAAAGTTTTACATAAATTTAAAACGAGTGGTTTCAACACAGTGGAACTATTTGCAGGTATTTTTTACAAGTRTAGACATTCCACATATATTTTGAGGTTAACATTCCCTGAAAAGTATATTCTATGAAACCTAATAGATGTGTTCACTATATAATATATGACAGTGGTCGCGTTGATAAACTTTATCTGAAATTTAATCGAGCTTCCTTTTCAATTGGTGGCTAATATATTAATGGAGAACATAGAGTTCCATATCTTGGACGCCAGAATTTCGGCATTCTTGATACGCGACATAAAATTGAAGTCTTGTTTCTGTAATTGCCGAGGTATCTCATAAATGAGGAATACTTTTCAGCGTAAAAATATTTTATAAAGTCTTAGATTGATCTAATAATAAAATGAATATATCAGAGGCGGAAATAATATTAACATTTTCTGGAACTCAGCATATAAAAAACCCCTTACTGTTAAAATTGCAACAAAAATTTATCAAACCGGCTATGCAAGGCAACGGTACAAACTCCGAAGAAATTGCTCAGATCAGACTACAATAGTACATAGCTGTCATACAAACAGATCGATCAAAATAAAGAACTTGCATGAAAGAAATTTTTATTTGTGAAGGGTATTACAGCTAGCATAATATTTTTCCTTGTTTTTTTTTTTTGTTTTTTACACTTTACTCAAGTAATTAAATTCGCTACCGATCGCTTTGGTTTTGGAACCCTTTGTAAGCTCAATCAGCTCAGTAATTTCTGTTTATTTTTTCACTCTTTATTGATTTTGTCATTTAATACCGTTCATTTTTCACTTACAACTTGGATGCGCTATGACGTTCAGCACCACCGCGACTAGAGAGTATATCGATATGCCCCGGCAGGCATTACGCAGGCTGACACCGCACATCGCTTTGTCCGCAACGTATTTGGCCATCTTCTCACTTGTGTYTACAAAAACTGGTTTCCAATAGAATAACAAAGTTTTCTACAAATAATTCTTTCTAATTTCCACAGAAGAATGTTTGTACTGGTTTGACGCGCGAGTTACATCTCAGGTTACGTCAACTGACGGCATGCAGTGGTGCACCACATCGCATGATCAGCCAATACGTGACCAAAACAGCACACTCGGCATATTTTGAGTCTGTTGGAATGTGCGGTACACCCACACATTGGGGGCAGACTCGAGTTGCTGATCTGATGGCAGAGTCAGTCTGATTCTTGCTACAGAATAATAAAGAACCGTTTTAATCCATAACTCGCGTTTCTCGAAACAATCCGTTCGTGTTCGCGTTCACAACAGAAAGGGATCACTATGGCGGCTGAGTACGAATACAATGTATCCAAACTGAAGGTTTGAGCTTTCTTCTGGAGAATGTGCTGGGTGTGTTAATACATCACATTCAAGTAGCAAACGCTTTTGATGGCTTATCAAACTTGTACTCGTATGAAGTCTCGCTCTTTGCATAATTCACTGTTCGGCAACGATAAACAAACGTTGTGGATTGTTTCGTGCGAGTACCTTGGCATGAACACACTGAGTATACATATCTGCTCAAGAATTCCTAAAACTAGCAACAACAAGAACGTTTATAAATCATTTCCCATAAAACATTTAAATAATTATTGCAAATTTGCAGTTAGCGATATGTGTGTATATGACTGCAGCTCAAAGTATTTTCAAACCGCTCCTCTCYAGCTTCGCTTTGGCTTTTGCATGCTGATATTAGAGCTTATCTTTGTGTACAGTTTTGTCGAGTTAAAGCGAAATTCGCTTAGTTTCGCAGTTGCCGTCGTTGCTGATTCACCATGCAAATTCTTTCGCATTTTACAGGGTGTACTCGTCGTGTTTTCATCAGCGGTTAACCTTCGCTAGCAACGTCTATGAAATCATACGCTACAGCATCTCCCTTTTAATCGCTTTTTAGCGAGAAAGCGAGAAAACATATAAATATTAAGTCATGCGCTATGAAGCCTTATCAGTGTCTCTGATGTGTTATATTTAGAAACATACACATACATACTATACATCTGTATAATACACATACATATATATTTATTACAAAGCACGAGATCGTATTAATTACTGAGGCATGAGGCAAGCCAAAGCCGTTGAACAGTTCTAAGATTTTCTATAATTTAAATTTGTAGGCGCAGGTATGTTCCCTGTTAAGGAGCATACTGAACTCCTCTCCAAAGTTTCTGCAGCCAAGATTCGCACCCGCCTCAGCAAAAAATGCACTTCAACAAACACAAGGAAGGTTCGACGTCGAAAAACTGCAATCACAACAGACAGCCGAACGACTTGCACGCCTGCTCTCTCTGAGAGCACTCGTCAACAACTCAGTATAAGGGAACTGTGGGACGGCATTTTAAGGCGTGTTGCASCGGAGAGAAAACAGACACCTGGTAACGTTACGATCGACCACAACACGTGCGGGATGGGATAGATACCGAGAGTTGAAGAGGGAAGCGAGACGCATTTGCAGACAGAAAAAGAGAGAGGCCGAAATGCGTGAGTATGACGAGCTTGGCAAGGTAGCCGACAGGTCTAATGCTCAATGCTCAAAAATTCTACGAAAAGATGCGGCGACTAACAGAAGATTTTATGACCGGGACACAACCGGGTAACCGATTCGCAGAGCGTACTAAAATTATGGGAACACTTCTCCAGCCTGCTGAATGCCATYCACAATCGACGACGACCATCCATGAAGAAGTTCGAATAGCAAACGGGGATGGTTTGCCGGCCGTGCTGTYATAAGTGATAAGGAGCATGCATCAGCTTCGTTGTAAAATATGGTCGGACGAAAGCATTCACAACGATAGGAATTTAAGCAACCGGAATTGACACGGATTTCATCCGACCAAAGGCTGTTTTTTCGGCGATTTAAAAAAAAAATTGGAATTTAAGTCTGCTCTGCCCAATCTACAAAAAGGGAGACCGCACAATCTGCGCCAACTACCGTTGGATAAGCCTCCTCAATATCGCAACCCACCGTCAACAAACCGATTGGACCTGATCAGTGTGGCTTCAGACCTGGAAAATCAACAACCCACCATATGCATGGTGAAATGCGCTAAATCTTGGACGGCGAATATCGCATTCGATGGATTGTTGAGCTGTATGAGTTATACGAATGAAGAGAGAGAGAGAGAGAGAAATCATGTCGTGCGTATGGACACTCCAGCTCAGAAAGTATTCGACGCAATAACCGCCGGAGGAAGCCACACGTAGAAACTTTAATTGGCGTCAAATAGTGAACGACGGTGTTGTAAACTCTGCTATAACCGCGTAATGTGTGTGATAATGCAATAGTTTGAAGGTTATACTCAAGTAAGGTTATATATGTACACCAATAAAGAAGTTCGTGAAATCAAAGAAAACTTAACTCATTCTAGTCGTCAATCAGCATCGACAATGTTTGAAAATAGTCGTCTTGGCATCAGAGATATTGCAAAGGATCTCAAAAGCTCTTAAACATAGACCGAGTCAACATATTTTGGGTACGAAGCGTTCCAATTCTAAACTCATATCAAAATACCTGAAGATTTTGTAAAAAAATGGCGTCAAGTAGAGGTTACAAACAAGACGCTTGACAACGTTGCAGAGAACATAACATTCATCAAATGCGTGGAAGCTGTCAAACGGCCAGGGCACCGCAGACCTTCCACTCCGAGGCTTATAAAAAGTATGTGGAAAATCCACATCGTCCCTATTCTTGTATTGGTTACGGCACTTATGTATATAGCTGTCGTTCAAACTAACTGATCAAAATCAGAGTAGAGATCTTTTTAAGCCTTTTATGTGCTAAGTAATAGAACTTTGATGAGCATTATGACATCGGTTCAGCTGGTTAAGTTTTTTTTGTTTTTATGTAATATCATACACCTAGCACGAATGAAATAATCACCGCAAACACAGATACATACATACATATTTATTGCACGTGTTACGTTGACAAACACTCGGCAATAAATACTTTCACGCCTACACAGCATACTCGCGTTAGTATTGCCTTGTAATTGTAGATGGCAAACGTTAACAGTGYTCATTAAGCGGTCAAYGATACTCACATGCACTTGCAGCCATAGGCAGCCCCTGCAGAGCGCACAATAGCACAGTCTACAGACAATTGAATACACAAAATTTTTATTTAACAAACATAATTGCACACAGTGACAGTTGATGAGGCAATGGGGTGGCGAGGGGCTGTTTTGAATGCATGTTTTTTGTTATTTTTTATTTTTTTGTTTTTATTTATATTTATGATTCATTGCAAACTACAACGCCAGCACCAACACCAACATTGACACCATCCGTCTTTCAGCTACTTTATTGTACACGTTACATCATTATCATCGTCATCTGCTTAAACATCATTATCATTTTTTTCAACATTATCATAACCTTTCTCTACTTCATTATCACCATCATCTCTTACATTGTCATCGTCATCATCATCATCATCATCATCATCATCATCATCATCAATATCATCTCCTTCTTTTTCATCATTTTCTTCATCATCATTATCATCTTCTTCTTTTTCGTCATCTTCTTCATCATCTCTACATTTATTACATTTATCTGTTTCGTCATTTTATCTTCGTGTTAAAATTCTATCACTCAATTAGTAAGCTGTGGCCTTTGTATCGCCAACAATTTTACACTGCTGAGCAAAAACTCGAAACAACACTCTATGCATGTATGTGTGTATGTACTTTTTTCTTTATATATATTTTTTCTTTATATTGATGTATGCATGTATTTAATGTAGGTATGTATAAGTATATCATAATAATGCAGCGCATGCGCAAATACGCCATTTTTCACGTTTTTTTATAATATTTTTTTTTTCTTTCTTCTCGCATATTAGCTAATAGTAATTAATTATATAAATACAGGGCGTTAATATTGGTAGGTAGGTAGGTATGGGTGTGTATATGTGTGTGTATTTTTTCTGCTTAATAGGCATTTAGCTTAAAATTCATTAAAATTGCGGTCCGTTACGTTTGCTTTAATACATTTATGTTCTGTCCTCTCGCACGGCTTTACGCAAATATTTACCGTTATTCTAACACTAAATGCTTTAACTGCATTTGTTCCTCTTCTTGTCTTCCACCTGCTGCTGCGCTTTACTCAAACATAGAATGGGAAATTACTTTTTTTAGTTGTTGTTGTTATAGTGCTGTGACTACTGCTAAGCGTATAGCTCGTCTCTGCATGCGTCGACTGTTGCTGGTGGTGGTGGTGGTGCTGCTGCTGTTGCTGGTTGTGATAATGCAATAGTTTGAAGTGACAAGCTGCGGTGACGCGACTGCTGAAAGCGCTACCGCTCGACTCCAATTCGCCGGCAACTTCACGAATCGCCGTCACTAATTTTCACCTAGGTGTCGTGCTGGTCGGCATCTTTTCAAGAAAATCCTTAGCAAGCACATCTTCAATTTCGGCCAAGCAGCTGGCGACCTCCTTATCGATATCGGCGTGATTGTGTGGGTTCGGGCAATTGACGCTCAGTGTTGAGAAGAAACCGTATAGATCTTGGAGCGAATGGATTTGCTGGAAGGTAAGCATCAAGTGGCGACCGCGTTTTACGTTGTTGGTCTGCGAGGCAAAAAAAAAAAAAATTACATATATATAAATATATACACGTATATATAAATAAAAAGTTATGCTCTTCAAATCTTCAAATGACTTTCGGAGACTTACCGGCGAGTGCACTGCATACTTCATGTCCATCAGTCGGCCGATACGTCGTATGTGCGGCACATAGATTGTCGTTGGCAGTGTAGCGGTCGTCGTCAGCTCATCACAGCTGCCATTCATAATCGGCACCTCCTCGTGCACATCGAATTCGGTGCCCACGAAGGCCCAACGATACATTTGGAAATGTGGCAAATTTGTTGCCGGCAGCACGCAGCCCAATTCAAGCAGCTTCGACGCCTCCAGTTGCACCGAACGCCAGTGTGTGACTTGATTTTGTGAACTCAAACCATTGCTGGAGGAATTCGATGACCATGAAACATCCATGCCGGAGAGTAAACGCATTTGTTGGCTGTCGGTTGCATCGAGAAGCAACAATAATTAATCTGATTACTTTATTATTTCCAGAAAATCTCACCTCAAGTCCTCGCCATCGGATTTCAACTCTTGCTCCATAGCCAAGAACACGTGCACCATCTCGGCGATAATAATGGGCCACAAGGATGTCACGTGATCGGCGGACATGCGCAGCAGCAGTACACGGAAGCAAAGGAAAACAGCTGCCTGCACGGAGGGTACCATGGAAAGTAGGCGCAAGCTGTTGGCGAGTTGTTCTGCGGAAGAGATTAATTTATTTAATTTAGAAATGTTCGTGAGATAAGTGCTTGAGGATAAATAAAAACAATAGCAATCAGTTTTGTATGAGTTTTCATATGCACAAAATTTTTTCGAAACTTTCAATCAACCGAAAGAACCCTAAATGTAGGCAATAAATCATAGCAAATTTCACGAAATATCCACTCATTGATTAAATGAAACTCACCTTGTATTTCGGGCATATACTTGTGGTACTGATCGAATTCACTGCAGAATATCACAAAGGCCAAACGCTTCAACAACATGGAGCGCTGCTCGTATTCCTGTTCGCGCGACGTGAAGATGTTCAAACTGCCGGTTTGTGTGAGCGACACGCGACTCATCAGTTCGCGGAATGTTGTATTGTCGTAGGTCATCAGACTGTCCATAATTTGCTTCCAGAAAGGTAGCGAGGAAATATCCAACTGGAAGAATGAATTATCCAGCAACAAGTCGAGCATGTCCTTGCGCCACGCCTTGCGCGTATACTGATAGCCACTAAGGCTGGCCAATAGACTGGAGCAGGCATARAAGGAGGGCACATTGCGCGCCGTGTGATTTTTCAGGTATGGTGTAATGTTGTACAACAACGTCGTTATAATATTCACCACCTTATCCTTCTCCTGCGAGCCATACGCCACGTCCAATAAATTAGCTAAGGTCGCCGCCAAAACGCTTTGCGCTTGCACAGCATACTGTTGCTGCTGGCCACCGATGCTATCA